GGCAAGGTCTGTGGGCAAGCCGCTTTGTCCCTCAGAGTCCCCAGGAGGAGCCGTCCCGTTTCAGCAAGTCGGGTTTCTTCACGCTTTCGGATACAGGGTGCTTGGATTCGGGCACAGAGTTCGGCTGCCCAAAGCCCCGGTTCTAGTCAGGATTGCTGGAGCCTCAGCAGCTGGTGAAGAGTTTGATGATAGAGATAGGGACGCTCGGGCAGTCGCTGGTTACCCGGCACTGGGGAACTCTTCCTGCTCCTTCTAGAACATACCTGAGATTCCTGAGGACTTGAAGCAGCTCTATAAGACGGTGTGGGAGATCTCCCAGAAAACCATCCTCAAGATGGCAGCAGACCGAGGAGCTTTCATCGACCAGAGCCAGTCTCTCAACATCCACATCGCGGAGCCCAACTACGGCAAACTCACCAGCATGCACTTCTACGGGTGGAAGCAGGTACCGGCGGGCGGGCGGGGGCTGAGGAGCCCTTTCGGGAAGGTTGGCCCTTTCCTTCCGAGAGCCTGGCGTTGCTGGCGGAACATCTCCGGAGCAATGAGGCTGCGGACGCCTGCGGGGTGCTCCCGTTAGCCCCGGCAGCTCCGGGATGTGCCTGTGTTGACGGAAGGTCGCCATCACGACCACCTTACCTACACAGTCGCAGAGGAGCAGACACTTCTGTGTCGCAGCGCTGGGAAGCAGGGGGGATGCCTCCTCCTAATGTGCTTCAGAGTCACATTAAAAATTCAGCATTTTATCTCCTTTTTCTGCAAAGTCATGGTCTTTAACGTATTTTAACATAAGCGGGCATGTTATGCCCACTGTTAATTTTGACATTTACAGTGATTGGTCCACCTATTAACTAACTTCATTAATATTCCTATGCTAATATAATCATTGGTTCTCTTGCTGATCAAGATCTCTGATGTGCAAATTAGGATGGGGAGGATGTGAGAGTCTTCACCTTAACATTCCTTTGTTTCTCTGGTTTCATCACATAAGATAAGAAGACAGGCCAAGAATGGGCACTCTCACTCCCTGTCTCCTGCCTCCCTGTTCTGTTCTGGACAGTTTCACAATTAGCAGCAGCTTTAGCTTTGACCTTCTTTGCAAGGCAGCAGCTGTTGTTTCTGAGCATCAGGGAGGCTTTGTATGTCTCTTACTACAACTAATATCCTCAATACATAGCGTTATTTATTCACTAAGGCAATTAAGTTGTTCATGAAAAGCAATTCGTTATCGATGAAAAGTAATTCTCTATTCAAAATTCGAACTTGATTTTAACACCTGTGCGGCCGGCGTGGGCTGAGGGCGGTCGGCCTCCGCGGTTCGGAGTTGGGCTGTGCCGCTTGCCTGCTCCCCGCCGGCTGGTTCCGGCTCTCAGGCTCACGGTTTTTGCTCTGCAGGGCCTGAAGACTGGCATGTACTACCTGAGGACCAAACCGGCTGCCAACCCCATCCAGTTCACCCTGAACAAAGAGAAGCTCAGAGAGCGGGAGAAGGCCTCCAAGGAGGAGGAGGAGAAGGCGAGGAATAAAGCGGCCATGGTGTGCTCCCTGGAGAACCGGGAGGAGTGCATGATGTGCGGCTCCTAACGGATCCGCCCCGCGGTGCCAGCAAAGCCGTCCCGCCTGGCTGGAGCCCCGCCGAGACAGAAGCATCTGGTGTAACCTGGGGGCGTGGAGGCTGGCTGGCGCCGCGGCAGAGGGGGCGGTGGCTGTAGTGGGTCGTAGCTTCCCCGTCCGCTGGGGGTTGGTGCGCGGGTGTGGGTAGGGTGCGTGAGAAGTTTGTCTGTCGCTTCAGTAGCTGGGCTCCCGGGAGAACCTCCGTGCCCTTGCGTGGCCTCACCTTGACCCTGTGGGCAGGGCTTTGGACAGGCAGGGGAAGTGCTGATGCCGCTTGCCTTGGAGATCCGCCCTGGAGCCCCTTCGCTTGCTGAAGGCTGTTGTGTCTTCAGAGGAGGGAGGGACCTGGCTGGTGCCTTCGCTGTGAGGAGGCAGCAGGAGGAGAACATCCCTAGGCTGGGGGTGATGTGCTGCCTGGAGAGTTCATCTTCTCCATCCAGCCTGCCAGGGCAGAGCCCTGCGCTGGGTGAATACTCCGGTTCTGACCAGGAGGAGGCAGAACTGCCGCAGGGCGGTTTATTCTGTGTGGAGAACCTGCTCTAACTTACCGCTCGGCTCTCTGGCAGTGGGCTTCCATGCTGCCCTTGGCCAGAAAGCCTCCTCAAGCGCACGCACCGTCTTTCCCCAAGAGCTGCATTTCTCCACCCCAGCGAGTTATGTGATCTTTTAAAAAATAATACATTTCTGCTTATCCGTGTACTTAACTCCCCACTTTAATGCGACGGGGCTCCCTCACCCAGTTCTTAAATATTTATTGAATTCATGTACCACACAACTAACCCTTTAATCCAGCCAAAGTCAATAAAATGTGGAATGTCGAAGGAATGAGCAGTGGTATCTTGGGGACGCTTTTTCTGATGAGAAGTGGGTTGTAGCAGCTGGAGGCCGGGGCCTTGTTTGTGAGCCCTGCGCCTCCCCCAGCGCGGTCCGAGAGACGCTGCCAGACGGGGCGTGTGAGCAGAACCCGGCTCTGCTGGGGCAGCCCCGCTGGCTCCCTAGGGTGTCAAGTCCTTCGTGTGGTTTTGAAGATCTGGCCTTAAGGTGAGCACGAGGAGGGGGCTGAGGGACTCGTCACTGCTCCTGGCGCCCCAAGAGGTTTCACCAAAAGGATTCCAAGGGGACGGGGCCTTTTGTCTGCAAAAATCCTCTCCTGAGCGAGTTTTGGAACAGTTTTCGGAAGCTGCAAGGGCTGGAGCGGGGCTGGTGGGGAAGCAGAACTCCTCTCGCAGAGCGCGCTGCCCTCGCCTGCGGGATGGGGCAGCGAGAGTTCAGGGAGGACGGAGAAACGGCGCGTGGGGCTGTCCGCAGGGCGTGGGGAGGTGGGGCTGGAGGCACAAATCTGCCGCGTGGACCGTAACGGGTGGGTTTAGTGACGTTACGGGGACGCTTGTGCCTGTCCTGGCTTGGAGAACCTCGGTGGGACGGACGGGGTCCTTTCCCCCCGCCTGGCGCCGGCCCCTTGCCCTCTGCAGCGCGCGGATGGGGCCGTCGAGGCTGCGGCCCCGCCGTCGGCGCCAGCGTGGGCTCTCGCGTGGCCAAGGGCAGGGCTGTCAGCAAGCTGTCACTCAGTCTGACCGGGCTTTGCTTCTTGAGTGTCCTCAGGGCAGGTTTTTGGGATTGGGTGGAGCTGGATAACGCCCTGGTAGCGTATCCCTGTGTAAACGGGAGCAGCGCCCAGGGGACCCCCAGCCTCGGCTCTCCTCGTTCTCCCAGTTTGGTTTTGCTGCTGCCTCCCTCTGAGGCGCTTCCAAACACGAGTGCTGTTGAAGTCGGCACTCCTGCCTGAGCGGGGGGAGAGCGAAGAGGGCTCACGCTTCTCGCTGGACGGAGAGGAGAGGCGGTTAGAGGGGAGCTGGAGCGGGGGGCGAGCGTTGTGCCGGATGCCGATGCTCCTCAGGAGGTGCCGGAGGAGCCTCAGGAGCCACCGTCTCTCCCGTGCACAATTCGTCCTTAGCTGCTGCCCTGGCTACTGCTCTCCTGGCCTTTGGCCTGTCTCCTGCTGCCGGTGCTGCTCCTGCAAACGCTCTTATTCCCCAAAGGCCAACCCGATGTTCCTCTTGCTGCTGCCTTAGTTCCCCAGCCGCTGTCGCTAGCCGGGGCAGCGGGCTGGCGTCGCGCGAGCAGGGTCAGGTTTGCTCAGTTCCTTTTCTGAAGTGGGTTTCTCTTACCCCTGCTGTGGCTGGGCTGAAGCAGCGCTCGGCAGACCGCTTCCCTCTGGATCGCCTCCCCGCCTGGCAGCAAGGCGCTGCTGCTCTCTAGGAAATAGCTCTGGGCTACAGAGAGAGAAAAAAAAAAACCAAAACCAAACAAAAACCAAAAAGAAAATGGAGTATTTAAATGCTAGAGACCCAGGCTGGTGGTGACATTGCTGCGTGTGGTTCCTGGAGCAGGAGGAGAATGAGCGAAGCTCAGGGGTTCATAGTGCTGAGCGTGGGCCGCCCAGTGGGGTCTGTGGGAGATCCTGAGTGGAGACCGGCCGAGACCCTTCCCTTCAGCCTCGTGCACCCCATCGCCAGGGTCCTCTCCAGACGGCCAGCGCTCGCTGCCCGTTTGCCCTGGGACAGCCGAAGCGGAGGTGGGGAGACCACCCACGCGTCTGTCCCCGAGGCGGGGATCGCTGCCTGCCTTGGCCCCAAGCGCTCCTGTGGAGCGGCTGTCCGTGCCCGCCGAGAGGCAGCGGGGAAGGGGACCGTGCCCCTTGCTGGTAACGGGGCGCCGCAGCCAAAAGGCTGGCACCGGTGCGAGTGGGACGGGGAGTCAGCCCGGGGACAGCGAGGGCGGCAGCCGCCTGGGCTGGGCTCCCGGCTCGCCCTTCACCAGCCCTCGAGCTCACAAGCCGCCCTCCCTGCTCCCAGCTGAAGCCCAAACAGGGGCCTTGGGGCTGCGCCTGTGTAAGGGCCGGTCCGAAACCAGCGTTGTCTCAACCTCGTCATCAGGAATATGGAC